GACGAGGTTCAGCCTGAGGGTGGGGTCAAGTACACCATTAGTTTGGAGTCCCTTCTTGCTCACAAGAGATCTAAGTCCAGCCCTCCCTTGAATTCCATTGACTCTTATCTGCCCCTAATTCACCTTGATCTTCACTAGTTCAGATTCTTGTTTAGGGATAGCATGGAATAAACTTGTACTCATTTGAATAATTCTGGTTCCTGATGTCTTGTGTCTGACAAAATCATGATATTTGGACAATCCTCTTATTACAGACAATGCTCCCATTGAAACTTTCTGGTGATTTAACCCCAAAGGAAGAAGTCTATTACTCGCTACCCTGCACCAGTATAATGGATAACACTAATCATGATCCAGTAACGGGTAACACTAATCAAGATTCTTGTTTGCTTGCAAGTTCTCAGGATTGAGGTAGCTTCTCTGCCTATTCCAGGTAAAGAATAACAGTGACAGAAAAGAAGCAATACAGGAGAGAGAAGAATACTTGAATGTCAAGATAATTGAACTTTGATGATCCTGACTCTAATACCCTACGGGAGAAATAATCACACTTTAAATTTCACAAGACCTACAATCTGATTTCTGACTAGATCCCTATTAATCTCCTGGTGGATTACAAGAAAAAGACAGTTTTTCGTTTACATATGCAAAATCCATCTGAATCTATATATAATTACTGAAGATTTTAAGATAGTCATGGTTAGTTTCTCATCTCGCAGTAGTTTGAACATATTGAGTCAGCTGAGGCCATACAGATCTTGTACCTCTTACTTTTCCCATAAATGCATGGAAGGTAGGATAAAGAAGCCAAGTTGGAGATACATCTCTTTCACCTTACTCCCTTACTTCACCTTACTTACAATTTTTCCCTGTTATTGTTTTACCCTAAACTGTACACAGATTTTTCAATATCCTGGGGAAAAGGGATATGTAGATAGGAGGGGGGGAAATTAAATATATGTTACTATACATATCCGCAACCTTATCTGGATTCTCACTTCATTTTCTATAAATATACTTACTAACATAAGATACCCAATTAAAAGCAAAACAGCAGTCTTGTGTTACCTTAAGACCAACAGATTCCTTTAAAGCCAATTGAGTTTTGTTTCATAATGCTTTGGTAGATAGATTAAAATGACTGTCTCTGTGTGTGTGTACAGAGGGCCCCTTCCCAGGCAGAAGTAACTTTCAAGTCAATGTAAAGTCTTTAGCCTGTGATTAAAAGCCTTTTCCAATTAGCACTCAACAGCTCCCATTCATTCCCCCCCTGGCCCTCCCCATTCCAGATGAGTAGGAGACTAATAAGGCTGTGATAAAAGGGCAAAAGGCACAGAGACAGCCAAAAGGAATTAATGAGCCTCCTCCATGTATTTGTCTCCTTAACAGCTGAACTGTTACATCCATTGATGCTCTTCAAAGGGTCTTCCTCTGCACTCGGTAAGCTCCACTGGGCACCTTCAGCCCATGGAGGATGGGAGGGCAAGAGGACTTTCCTGGGTGACCCGCCCAAACCAATCGAGACCTACAAGAAGGGGTGATGAAAACCAAGCTCTTTGCTGCCCTCGATGCCACCTTCACCTCCACCCCAACTGGCACTTCTCCTCTTCCCACCTCCTCCTCCTCCTCCTCCCAAAACTCAAGACCTCTTTTCTGAGAGCCGGTTCCCAGCAGCTATGAAGGAGGAAATTCAGGGCTGGGAATTGTGCAGTCAAGACCTTGTCAAGGTCTTCCCAGGGACCTTTGTCATGAAGCACCTCGGTGACTGGCATCTGGCTCAGAAAGCCTCCCCCCCCCCGCCCCCTCCCCGGCCCTGAACAGCTTATGACATCACAAAGGGCACTCCAAACAGATGCCTACATGGCATCCTGCAGCACTTTTAAAAGAGAATTAGTGGCTTTAATTATGGCCGTCGTCTGAAAGAGAGCCCAGTTGAGTTCACTAGGAGGCCTTTGATCAAGGACCTCGGCTAACACAATGGTGCGGAACTGTGACTACTCCTCGCCAGGGGAGAAGGGGGCCTTTTCTGCCCCTGAATAGCTCACCAGTGATCTTTGAATGCAGGCAAGCTGGAAAACCCTCCCTCATCATTAAGCGGACATTTCTATACAGGGGCCTACATAGAGCTCGGGAGTCTAGGCGCTATACAATTGGAAGGGGGAACGGAATCCCTATGGATTCTGGCTACTCCTTAGGAAGTGCTGAAGGGCCGTGAGTGACTTAATTCATTAAAACAGGTTGCTATTAATTAACTGTCATAATCAAAGAAAGAGCCATTATTTGCATTTCTTAACGTTGTTCCCTTTTACTTCTTGTGCGGAGGTGGGGTGAGGAAGGAAAGATTCTTGTAACCAAAAAAAAAATAAAAAATAAATTTAAGGCTGGAATAACACACGCATGCACACGCGTGCGCGCGCACACACACACACACACACACACACAAGAAGGGGGCAGAAGGGGAAAAGAGGGGGGGGAAGCTTGCTGTGAAAAGCCCCCCTTTCAAAATGTAAGCTGTAGGTTCTGCAGCTAATTACAGGACCAGATCTACAAGTGAACAAACAGGGAGGTGAAAACACAAACAGGAAAGTAATGAGGAAGAATGCAAAAATGCTTTTACTTGGCAACTGGTTTCTGCAACTGAGCTTAGTGGAAGAGTTTCTTTCTCTCTCTCTCTCTCTCTCTTTCCTCTCTCTTCACCTTGCATTTGATCGTCTTTAGCAGAGCGATGCTACATGAGAGTAATCAGAATTAAATTTCTGTCAAATAACTCCTATCTCTCCTGGCTTATTTAGGGCGGTGCTTCTGAAGGCTTCGGCTCATCTGAAGACATGCCATGTGGAATTAACAGGTCTCAGTCTGTGGCAGGATGGTTTGCTACCTTTCAAACACGTAGTTTAATGAAAAGGACTAGAGGTGACACTGATAGCAGTGCTGAAATATCTAAGGGGCTGCCACAAAGGGGGACAACCTATTTTCCAAAGCACTTGAAGGCTGGACAAGAAGCAATGGATGGAAACTAATTGTTGTGGTTCGCCGGCAGCCTGTGCAGACGGCAGCAGAATCGGACAGTGGGGAAGAACGGGGACCAGTCAGGGAGTCTGGAGAGGACTTCAACGAGGGTCCTGGGTCTGATGCAGAGATGGGCCCAGGACCATCTGGGAGTTGTGTGCTGATTCCAGAGCCTCCGGAGTCTGGCAGCAGTGAGGCAGAGGAGCAAGGGGAGCCTGTTCCCAGTGTGAGTGTGGACAGAGCTGCTAGAAGGCAAGAGCAGCTAAGACAAAAGGGGCGACTCGTTTGCTCTGTTCGGATTAAACCTTGAAGCTCTGTGTGGACTTTGTACTTCAGTTGTTTTACAGTTCATTTGGCACTTTAGTTGTTGGCAGCAATTCAAAGGAGATAAAGGTGGGTGCTTATCTCAAGGGACTATTTGGGACTCATTATGGGCTGGGTATGAACATAATTCCGAGTGTTGAAATAAAGTTGGCACTTTAGCTGTTGGCAGCAATTCAAAGGAGATAAAGGTGGGTGCTTATCTCGAGGGACTATTTGGGACTCATTACGGGCTGGGAATGAACATAATTCCGAGCGCTGAAATAAAACAAGAGTTGTTTAAACTAAATATGTGCTTAATCACAGTCTCAGGAAGCCTTGGTCAGAACACTAATCAAGGAGAGAAGCAACTTGGAACGAAGGAGAAATTTCCTGACAGAACAACTTGCCTCCAGAAGCTGTGGGTGTTCCAACACTGCAGGTTTTTAAGAAGAGATTGGACAAGCATTTGTCTGAAATGGGATAGGGCCATGATGGCGAACTTATGGCACCCATGCTGGAAGTGGCATGCAGAGCCATCTCTGCCGCCACATGAGTTGTCGCCCCAGCTTGATTCCACTGCAAATACGTGCACACCTCCTGCCTGCCAGCTGATTGTCGGGTATCTGCTATTAAGATTTTGACTCTGATATTAACACTAAATAGTAGCGCATAAATATACACAAATGGATAAATCAAACAGAACATATGAATATCCTGATCAGAAGCAACTCAAGTCCAACATTGTACTCCCAACAGTATTCAACTGAATGCTTTTGTGATACTCCATCCTTGGAATGAGGGCAAAAGTGATCACGACTGTTAGCCTTTGATCAAACTCTCTGTCAATATAAGTCTGTCTTTTATTCTGTCTGGTAGCCATGTTCACAGCAAGTAACAGTGCCTGGCCAATCATACCCGATTCTTAAAAAAACCAAGCAGGATCAGTCTTGTTTAGTATGTGAATGGGAGACCACCAAGTAAATGCCAAGGCTGTGACCTTGATTTGGAAGCTGAATAGACCACATCAGAAGAAGACAGCTTCCATATTGTCAACAAGAAAACAATATAATGTAGATGTATCCTATAATCCAATGGTCACCAACCAGTGGGCTGGGGACCACTGATGGTCCGCGAGAAATTTTTGGTGGTCTCCAGAGAAATGTCACCCCCAAAACACCTCTCGAAGCAATTAATCCAAGCTGCGCAGGAACACAAGGCTGGAGTCGCTTGCATTGCGAACAACATGAGGTAGCGAGGAGAGGGGGGAAAGAACAGAGCGGAGGAACTTGCCCCACGTGCCTGGCCTGGCCACTGGGCTGCTTCTTTCCGCTTCTTTCTTCTGCTTTTGGCTGCATGCAAGGAAAGCAGCAAAAGTCTTTCTTTCTCTCCCACAAACTCTGCCAGAAATGAGTCTTTGGGACCCTGCAAGGCCTCCTGCTCCAAGAGGCTTTGCCAGTGTGACAAAGACTCATTTCTGATGGAGTTTGGGAGAGAGAAAGAAAGACTTCTGCTGCTTTCCTTGTATGAAGCCAAGTCTTTCTCTCTCTCTCTCTCTTTCTCTCTCTCTCTCTTGCCCTGAGAACGGAGCTGGAGACGGTATCCTGCAATCCCAAATAAAGAATGATCGATCGGTAGGAAAACAGGGTGGCGAATTTTCTTGCAGACTTTTTTGGGGATTTTCCCAGAGTCTCTGGTCTGCGGGATTTAAAATTATGAGTTGGGTGGTCCCTGAGGTCCAAAAGGTTGGGGACCCCTGCTATAATCAGAGCTGACCTCAAGGGAGACTTGACGGTAGCTGGCAGGGAAGCAAATTAGCAACAGTGCTTAACTTATATACGGCTACACAGTGTTTCACAGCACTCTCTGAGCAGTTTACAATGTCAGCATGTTACCCCCTACAATCTGGGTCCTCATTTTACCAACCTTGGAAGGATAAAAGGCTAAGTCAAGCTTCAGCCAGTCAGAATCAAACTCAAGGTGATGGGCAGTTAGCCTGCAATATTTCATTCTAACCACTGCGCCGCCAGGGCTCTAATTATTAACATACTGTGTTAAGAAGTTTCAGTTAGACTCTCCAATATTCAGCTTCGTTTAATGACCCTCACACTGTAACGTCAAAAGGGGGGGAAATCCCAATTCAATCCCCCCAGCCTGTGTTTATGCTTCTTTATACCACCAAACCCTTCTTTTGATTAGTCTTTTCCTCCTATCTAAAACACGGCATTTAAGCTTGTTTTGTTTCTGTCTACATAATCCTTCTCTTACTCTTCGTTTCGTCCCCAACGGATTTTCCCTTGAGCTCAGCATGTCCTACGCAGGTCGCCTCGCTGCCTTCTTCAGCTTTCTCACTTCCCGAAGTTCTTTCTTCATATGCTTTATGGCTTGCAAAATACTGCTCTGCTGGGGATCATCTGCAGCTTTCTCCAAGTAAAGGCGGAAGTGTTTGATGATGTCTAAGAGTAGCACTTCTGGGTCTTCCCTCGCTGGGTGAAGATGCAGCACCCTCTCACAGGCGATGGCGTAATTTTTGTGCCAATTCACTGGATAAGTTTTATACGTGTTTACAATTTCCTTGTACAGCTGTAAATCACACAAGACAGTTCAGGATTGAAGAGAAATCTCAGCGATACCATTTCCCCATATCACAAATATTTGCTCACTTTTTTTAAAAAGCAGCCAAGCCTGGCATAAACAGCATCTGTATATAAAATAAAGTCTCTGCAACTGAAGAAAAATAGGACACCGTTTATGAGCATATGTTTTAAACCATGAAATGCAACTCTCTGCATTTCTATTCAGAAATAAGCTCCACTAAGCACTCCCCAGTCAATGTGTATAGGATTTCAGCTAAGAGGTTTCATGTGTATGGCTGATGATTGGGCATACTGCTCTGATGTCATCCCACTGAAAAGAGGAATAAAGATGTAGAATTCTCAAGGGGAAACTAAAGAATAATAATTCCAAGGATAAATCTGAAAGGTAAACTGGGAGAGAGAAGAGAGAGAAGCTAGAGAGCAAAAAGGGTGAGGAATAAGCAAAAATGAACTGAAGATATGTGTTTTAACTCCAGTGGAGCCATTCTGCCTACGAAAACAGTAAAAGAAAAGGGCTGAACTTGGCTTACTTCTCTAAATTGTATCTATTTTATTCCTAGGCCGCCAGTATTCAAACGTGGCAGAGTGGAAAGAAAAATGTGCATGCACTTGAGTTGCTACTTATACAGAAGCAACACCCATCCTTCTTCATATTCACACAGTTATAAGACCTGCAGGTAGCAAACCATGAGCAAAGCTCTCGTGGGGAGTCAGGGAGAGGACAGGGAGACATAGAAAACTTGCTGTGATATCATTCTTTAGCCAATCACCCATGAAAGAGGCTCTGGCTATGTCTTTGCTCACTGGAAATACCTTCCTGCTTCTGCTTGGTTCTACGAGTTGTAGATGAGAATTTGGTCTTACTCTAGTAGAGGAACATCAAGGCGCTACCTTAAGTGGACTTTCATAGTTGCATTCCCAGCAGTCTGCTAACCTTCCCAAGTAAGCTTAGCTGTGGCACCTGGCTTGCTACCACAAGACAGTGAAAAGGTCCCACAGTTCTGGGGCAAAGTGAAGGAGAATCTCTTCAGCTACCTAGAGGCAGCACTCAAAAGCAGGGAGGTAGAAGCAGCTATCATGTCCTCATGAACGAAGGCGAATATACGTATCCAAAAATAATGTTGCAGGATCCAATCTGGGTTGGTCACCGGGACCAAAGATTTAGTCTTCCAAGCTTTTGGACTTGTGTTGGAGCCCATCCTCAGGGAACGTCTCTCTGTGGGAACACTCTGCTGGAGAGAGAAGTTCACTGAGGGTGTGCTTCAGCATGAGTCTGAAAGCTCAGAAGACTAAAACTCTGGTCCCTATGACTGACCCAGATTGGATCCTGCAGATATCATGCCCTATTCAGAGCCCTAAAAGGCAGGTGACGGCAGGTAGGAGAAGATACCAACCCAGCCTTCTGCCTATTGGCCAGACAGATGGGAATAGATCTCCTGGTTGTGGCTGTACCATATTTTATATAAATTGATCTGATGACTGGAACTAGTGGAAAGATCAAGACTAATCAACCATACAAACACAGGGATAGATACCACCCAGATCCCAGGCGCATCTCTTGGTGCCCAAATGACATTTTAAATCAAGTTTATTTAGTAAAAAATATTAAATATGAAACTGGTCTGTTATAAAGCCTCATCCCCAAGCAACATAATGACTTTCGGGGCTGTTTGAGGGCATGGTAATTGGCCCATTCAGATGAGAGGGAGCATTACAATAACATAGTACTATGTTTCTCAAGCTTGACAATTTTAAGATGCGTAGAAACTCTCAGAAACTCTCAGCCATCACCTGGCTTGGGAATTCTGGAAGTTGACATTCACAAATCTAAACACCAGTTTAAACAGGTGCATTAACACTGACCAACCCAACACCCATTTTGTGAACAGCCAGGTTTCCTCCTGCAGCCACTTTTTGACTGCACCCATTACATAGTGCAAAATTACAAATGATTCACTGCCCCCAAATTTGTGACTTATCCCTGGGCCAGCATATAGATGGCTTGAGCTTTTCTACCCCAGAGTGGAAAGTGCTCACCTTATAAGCAAGTGTGTAAAGCTTTGCTTTCTCTTGCGCAGATGTGGAACCAGTTTCTGCAAGGTCAAAAAGAAAGAAGGCTGTTTTCATCCTAGGAGGAAAAAAAGCCAGAAGTGAACTGTATCTTCTTTAAACACCATCTGACATCCATGAAGGAGGAGGTAGGATTCACTTCCCCATGGAATGATTGTACCGCAGTTCACTATATTGAGCTGGTGTTTACTGGGTATGGCATTAGAAGCTGCACTCCAGAATATCTGAAGGGCACCAACTGTCTTAATTTATTAATTCAAGGTAATATTCCATTCCTCTGCTAGACATCAGCTTCCTAGATTGTCATCATGCTTCCCCTGAGTTTTACCTGCTCGGTGCTACAATATGCAATATAATTAATTTGTAGATAGATTGAAACGATTATCCTCTCTTTCAGACCTTTTCTGAAACATGGAAAGGAAACAGGATCTCACCTGGCTTGCCACATCTCTTCATTTGCTACCAACTCCCAGGATGATGAGTCAAACCTTAAGAAAGAAACAGGTAAGTTGATATGCAAGACCAGGTAAGGACTCACAAAGACAGAGCATGAACAGGATAACTAAAATTTTCCAGATACAGTTGAGGAAATGGGAATGAGTATGATGAGGTTATCCCTTCAATCATGTCTAGCTCTTGATGATTCTATGCAAACCCTCTCTGGATCCATTCTAAACATACTTTTGATGATACCACTATATCTTCACTAATGACAAAAAAAAAATGAATAGTAGGAGGTTTCACATTTGCACTCTTCCTTCTTGCAACTTTTTAGAAGCTACTATCAACTATGAGTCACAAACCTTCCATATTCCTCAGTCCAGTTGTAGAGATTTTGGGTACGCTCAACCCACATTTCAGGATCAAAGGGAACTTTTGAAGATACCAGTTTATCACAAGAGCCCCAGGGCCAAAGGGAATACTCTTTTTTCCAGGTAGGGTCACCTTCATGGAGTCCAATACAAACAAAGGTGTCTTTGCTATTACAAAGAAACAAACAAGTTAATAATAAAAAAGGTAAGTGGACTTGTACAATGGTGCTTGCCTATGACAGCACTAACAGCAACCATATGAAGAAAGCTAGGAGCGATGGTTGGTTTAATTTATATTGAATAGGATCAATTGTGTAACTGATTAGAATACTTTCCTAATCTTGTGCTAAATCAGGAGTGTCAAACTGGCGGCCCATGTACCGGATCCATCATGCACAGGCCATGCCCACCCCAGCTCTGCGAAGGGAAAAAACATCACGAAACATCACGTGACAACAATGTGACACCGTGAGTTTGACACCCATGTGCAGATCAAGGGTCTTCAAACTTGGCAAGTTTAATTGTGGACTTCAACTCCTAGAATTCCTGAGCTAACATGGCTGGAGGAGGAATTCTGGGAGTTGAAGCCCACAAGTCTTAAAGCTGTCAAGTTTGAAGACCCCTGTGGTAAATAAAGGATGAGAACGAGAGTTTACTTCAAGACTTCACAGAAATTCAGAACAGGACAAGGCCATTTAGGCTTCTGAACTTTGTTCCAGGCAACAACCCAATAATCCTCTATTTGAACATCACCAGTGATGGGAATATCCCATCTCTCACAGTAATTGTTCAAACCAATCTTGCTATTGGGAAGGGTTTCCCCTGCTAATATTCAACTAGAATTTTTCTTCTATAACTTAAATCAGGAGTCCCTAACCTGTGGGCCATGGGCCACCAACCTGGGAAAGTTGAGGAACTCTGACTTAAATCAATTATTCTATGTCTGAAATGATAGAAAGCAGAAGTTAGCAATTTTTCGTGTGATATCCTTCCATACTCTCAAACACCACCAACCAGTTTGAGTAATATCACGTCTCTTTCACAAGACTAATCTTTTCCAGCCCCTCCACAGGACTTTAATTTTTGTTTCCTGCCCTCCTTACTGCCTGTGTCTGAATCTATTCCAAGAGATCAACAGGTTAGCAACAGAAAATGTTACCTTACTGTGGGCCACCTTGTATTCCAACTACCCTGGTTAGTCTTTTGTAAGGCCCTCTAAACCTGGCTCTCTTTCATGGATTACTGCCTTGCTATGGCGAAGGGGCTTGCGTAGCTCAATGAAGCCATGAGCTATGCTGTGCAGGGCCACCCAAGACGGACAGGTCATAGCAGAGAGCTCTGACAAAACATGATCCACTGGAGAAGGAAATGGCAATGGGACGACAGAGAATGAGGTGGTTGGATGGAGTCACTGAAGCAATAGACATGAGCTTAAATGGACTCCGGAGGATGGTAGAGGACAGAAAGGCCTGGAGCAATGTTGTCCATGAGGTTGCAATGGGTCAGACATGGGTCGGACATGACTTCGCAACTAATAACAACAATAAACCTGGCTATAAACCTACATCTGGGGTGCTGAATGTGTTAAGGGCCCTGTTTCCTGGCTATATTGTTAATTGGCCAAGTATTTTGGCTACTATCTATATTTAATTTGAATCTTTCTGTTGTTTTTATTGTTTTAAAATATTTTTTGTTTTATTTCCAATATATTATTTTTTAATTGTAAGTCACCCAGAGTCATTGACTGAGATGGGTGGCTATAGATATTGAATAATCCCATTCTGTTCACACTGACACAATTTTT